AGGCATCTGAGCTTGCATCCACTGGACTAGCGGCTCTGGTCCCTTGTCCCCCTAATATTCTTCTATATACTATCAGGTCATCTAGATTTAGCACCAAATGACTACTTAGCATTGACTCCAGTGACAGGCCAGTGGGAAGGAGAAGTGGCCAGATTTGAGTTGAGCACAGGAAAGTGAGTAGGGTTTGGATAGGCAGAGACGAGGAGAGGGTACTCCTGAAAGCAAGGTTATTCCCATAGCAACAGTAAGTGTGATGAGGGCCCAGTGGTTGGCAAGTCGTACCCAGTATATTCCAGGGGAAGGAGGAAACCGGCTTGGCTTAAGGGGGAAATGCCTTCAGAGGAAGAGGGCGATAAGGCAGCAAAGATCCATGAGAAGTTTACGTGGACATTTGAAAAGAGGAAGGCAGGGATGGCTAGTCCCAAACCAAATACCTCTGCTCTTTCGGCTATGAAATTAAGAATGAGTTCATCACACGTCAATGAAATGTGGATGCTCCCTGTGCGCAGAGGAATATTATTCCTAATTATATAAAACTAAAGCACTACAGGGTCACACAAAATAAACAGGGGGGCAGTGAAACACCCTGGCTGCCCCCACTGCAGAGTGCCGGCAGCAGTGCAGCCATGAGGAGTCAGACCTGGGCCCAACATCTGGTCTTAGGACTGGCAGTGACAGCCTAGAGAACTGGCTGCCCACTCTGACCCTCCACTTCCTCATTTGCAAAATAAAGACATTCACCGTCTTTACTCTGCAGGGCTGCTGTGAGAATTAGATGAGAAGCCACATAAAATGCTTAAGACAGTGCCTGACCTAAAGAGAGCACTCAATAAGCATTAGTTGCTTCTTGTTGTTATTATTATATAGGGGTTTGGTGGTTGTTATTATTATTACTATTATTACTATTATTATTATTTAGGGCTTTGGTTATGATGATGATGATGATTATACAGGGGTTTGGTTTAGTTAATATACTGTATCTAAATAGTGAAATAATATAAAACCTTTAAATATCTTGTGGTAGAAGACCATTTATTTAATAAGAAAGTGGTCACAATACACCAAGCAGTCAGGGGGCAGTGGGGAGGGGAGAAAGCATACTACAAGCAATGGACTTATTAGGGTCTCCTGTGTAAGATTTAGGGGTGAAAACAAATATGCTTAAATGCCAAAAAAATGGAAAAACATACATTGTGTTTAGCTCTGTGTTCTTCTGTGCTTTCTAAGGGGAGGAAAGAAGTTATTTAATAATAAAATAAAAGTAATAACACTACCTTCACTTGGAGTAAGGCTTTTCATTTTCCAAAGCTTTTTCACATATCTCAATTTTATACTAATTTTATTTTTAATGGCCCCTATTAAACTGCTATTCTGCCAAATGCCCTTAAACCAAAATCCTGAAATCCACTTATCTACCCCCAAAAGGACAATCTTTCCACTAAAAGACCATCTTTCACTAACACCTTTGCTAACAATCAAGTAGCTGGTTTTCCCCAATGTGAGGAGCAGAGACACATAAATCCACTTTTATAGCCAGGGCTTTAGTGAGTAGTTTCATGAAGAGATGTTTAAGTTAATGATGCACTGTAATAAAGTAGTAGAAACCATCAGTTAAATCAGGGGTCTGAGCCACACGTCCCAGGGCCTGGCTAACCCTGCTCGTTTGGCTCTAAGATGCTCAATATCTAGGATAACACATCCTCCCAATGCATGTCCCCAGATTCCGTGGTAAGACTGCCAGCTGCTTCCCCACCAGCCATGTTCTCTCTCTTCCTTGGTAACAGACCCTGATTACTAGCTAGGCTCTACACCACCCAGAATAAAATCCTCCATCTCCCAGCAGCCCCTGCGCTAGCCATGGCTGTGGCACTCCATTCTGGCCACTGAATACATGCAGATGTGTTGTGCTGGACTTCTGGGAAGTTAATGGGAGTCGACTCAGCCACAGGAGCAGCTTCTTCTGTGCTTCTGCTCTTCCTGCTCCTTCAGGCTTGTGACTTGGACCAAATAACTAGCATTTCACCAGCCATCTTGGATCACACGACAGCCCCAAGATGCAAACCATGTACTGGGATGATGGAGAGAAAAACAGGAGCCTGGGTCCCTGATGACATGTGGAGATGCTCTAAAACCCCGTCCCGGCCTTCTTTTCAAAGACAAATGAATGGATACCTTGTTTTAGCCACTGTTATTTTGCTTTGTTTTTTTAGGTTATGTGCGTCAAACCTGAACTTACTACAGATGATATATGAACATAGGATATTATATGCTGTACACATCTGACAAACAGCACATGACTTTTTTAAGTGGGTCATCAGGATAATGAAGCATTTTAATAAATCACTTTTTTACTGAACCTTTTGTAACAGCTAGATGTTTATCACCAACTACTTTCTTTTTCCACAAAGACAGCCTCCCTATATACTTTACTCTTTTCTCTAGTGGTTCAAAGTCAACTAACACATATAATTCATAGAATTCGGCCCTCACATGACTGTGATCAAAATCCAACTCTCTGGAGCCCCTAATAAAAACCAAGAGAACCTGGCCAGTATCCCCAGGTCTGCAAAACACAGAGAAGTTATGACACTCAAACTGGAGGCAAACAAGCGGCATAACATTTCTAAAATGATTTTCAAGTCATGCACACACACGGAGTAAGAGCAGTGGTGTCGTCAGGGCTCATGTTGGATAAATTCAATCCCAGGCAAACACCCGCCCACAGACAAATGTCAAGGAGCCACCCCAACTCACATGAGAGATTTATAGCAGGCATTAACATCAGCACCACCCATGCAGCCCAGGGCGCTATGGACATTTCAGGGCCTCAACTGTCTTGATGAGGTCCTTTAAAATACTGCCCTATGTGTAAGTCCAACTCCTGCCACCATACACTGTACCTGAAGGTCCCCCTCAGCAATCCTAAAACCCACGTAAGGACAAAGAAGGACCAGGGCTTTGCCTCCAGGGTGACAGAATGACATTCAGGTCCCTTGTCGTCTCCTGCAAACAGCATAACCTTGGCAAGTTAGCTTTTCCTTCTTCACAAGAGCCTAGACGTCTAAACACAAGTCACAAGAGGTAAAACCTTGTACTTACATCTTGAAATTACAACCAGATTTAAAACTTTGCAGGGGAGATTATTAACTTTTACAATCATCCTAGCCCAAGTTTTTAAATGGGCTCAATTACATAAGGTTAGTGCACTTAGCCTTATCTCCCAGATAAGGATGTTAAGAAAACATTTTAAAATTCAGCTTCTATATCACATTTTCTACCAACACATCTGCTTACGCTTACCCCATCATCCAAAGCAATCTCTAGGTAGAAATTATTTTGAAAAGGGGGTCACCGAAAATTTTAACTTATTTAACACATTTATGGAACAGAATTTTGCAGGAGGGAGGAGAATAATCATACAGTAAAGAGACAGAATATGGCAGAAGGAAAAGAGAGACCAGATTTTATTTTATGCAACTTAAATCCTTCACATGCATTACGTCTAAAATACGTATCTAATGCTCCATACTCTCACAAGGATGAATTTTGCTTTTATTAAGGGGGAAGATGGTGCAGGCAGAAGAGGTAAGGGTAACAAATGCTATTTTAAAGTAAACCAGAAAGTATACTTGTGTATATATAGGCCATATATGCTTTCTATTTTTTTTTTTTTTTTTTATCTTCTGGCCGCACCACAAGGCATGTGGTACCTTAGTTCCCTGACCAGGGCTCGAACCCGTGCCCTCCCACAAGGCAGTGGTACCTTAGTTCCCTGACCAGGGCTCGAACCCGTGCCCTCTGCAGTGGAAGGAAGCATGCAGTCCTAACAACTAGACCACCAGGGAAGTCCCCACATATGCTTTTTAAATGTCTGGAAAAATATGCCAAATGTAATGCTTATACCACTGGGAGGAAAACATTACGGGTGATCTTCCTCTTCTTTTTGTTTATCCACACTTTCTAATTTTTGTACAACAAAAACACTTACTACCTATGTAATTTAAAACGTATTCTTTAGAGTCAACAGATTCACAATAGCATCAACAGAAAAATAAGCCACATCTGGAACAGCTCAGGACAGAACAAAGCCTGAAGGATTTCTGGGCTCAAAGCTGAAGGATGCAGACAGTGAAGTTCCTGGGGCCCCAAAGTCCTAACGCCCTCCTCTCTGGACAGGATGCTCAACGTGATTTTAAGCATATGCCATTTAGCAAACTGTATCCTCTCTACCATGCAGTTTAGGCAAGGGAAAGTCTAAATTACCACACAAAAGAAGCATACTCCCAGCGCCTGCTGATTCAGCCAAGGAAAGAGACTGAAGTTTCTACCAACTCACCATTTAATTATGTGGAACACTTGCTTTACAATCCAATTTATGGGTCCTAGATGTTTAATAAAGTTACCTCTCAGTTCCCTGCTATTAAACACTGGGTAGTTATGACAATTAATTAATACCACCCCAAGGCTACCAGGAGGGCTGTAGTTCTACCAGCCAGGTCGTGCTCTCCAAGTTGAAATGGCCACCTGAACGGGCCTCACAGCTTGAACAACATGCCTCTTCTGCCTTACACCCCTTCTCTGGTGGGGACCTCAGGTTGGGGAGTTAGGTAGAAATGCAAACAGGCGGTATTGGTTTGCTTTACCTGTTGTTCCACCGAAGAGGGAAACCCCTTTTGTGATCACAGGCACCCCTTCCTCAAGTGGGAAAATAAATCTACATGTTTTGTTTGCACAGTACATCAGAATTACATACTGCCAACCACGCCTGCAAATAAAAGCCCAGAATTACCCCAAACCCCTCCGGTGCCTCATTCTTCCCCTCCTAAACCAACTTTTCCTGGCATTCATCCCACCCCCTACATCTCAAGTCAAGGATGGACTGGTTTTAAGCAGAGCGTTTCACTGCCCACTAAGATTCCTGAGGAATCCACTCCAACCGAAGCCATGGACTGAGTCTGAAAGTGCTTGTAAGCCCTCCAGCCTCATCTCTCCGTACTCACTGTTGCTGGATTTAAGGTCGCGGTGGATGATGGGGACAATTGCCTCATCATGTAAGTAGTTCATCCCTCTGGCAATCTGCACGGCCCAGTTCACCAGGATGTCTGGGGGAATCCTCTTCCCAGATAACACTCTATTCAAAGGCCCTCCACGAGCAAACTCCATGACCAAGCAGAGGTTGGGTTCCTTCAGACACACCCCCCTAAGGGCAATGATGTTGGGATGCTTCAGCATGGCAAAGAGCTTGGCCTCCTGGCGAACATTCTCTATGGTCTGGCTGATGTCCTCGTCCGGGTCGTGGCGAGCTGCTTTCACGGCGACCTCATCCCCTATCCAGAAAGCACGGTAGACCTTCCCAAAGCCCCCGATGCCAATGATCTCTTCCAGGGTTAGCTCCGCAAAATCAATCTCTAACACTGAGAAAGAAAAGAAAAAAAGAAGCAAGTCAAAAAAATGTGAAGAACACCATTTTATCACCCATTTACCTGGGTGGGTAAACACGGCAAGTTGTCTGCGCACTTAGATTTTCTGTCTTCTCACTATAAACTCCCTAAAGACAGGAAATGTGATTAACTTTTTTTCTGTTAGTGACTAGCACAGAGTAGGCATTCAATACATATTCATGAAATAACTTCCACTTGGGAATTCACGCAGAATCTTTTACCGAGATCAACCATTCTAACTAAAAGGAAAATTGGGGGAGATCATTTTTATGAGACTTATTCACATTTTACTGTGTACATACTACGTAGTGAGAAGCATAAAATCCAGTGCCACGGCAGACACACAACAACCAAACCACTTTAGTAGCAGTGTGATCCAAAGATGAGGAAAATCACTAATTCCCACCGCAGGACAGGGATTAAGGGCGAGTGGGGAAGGGATTCTCAAGGAAGGAAACATTTGAAATGGGCCCTAAAGAATGAGTGGGAGGGATCTCATCAGGCAAATGAAGATCAGGGTAGAGAAGGGCAATCCAGGTAGAGGGAAGGTCATGAGCAAGAACCGTGGGGCATGGAGAACATTCACAACAGCCAAGACATGGAAACAACCTAAATGTCCATCGACAGATGAATGCAGAAAGAAGATGTGATACATATACACACTACTATATATAAAATAGATAACTAATTAGGACCTACTGTATAGCACAGGGAACTCTTCTCAATACTCTGTAATGACCTACATGGGAAAAGAATCTAAAAAAGAGTGGATATATGTATACGTGTAACTGATTCACTCTGCTGCACAGCAGAAACAAACACAACATTGTAACTCAACTATACTCCAAAAAAATTTTTAAAAAAAATAGCATTTAGTTGAAAAAAAAAGGTGTGATATATATATATATATAATGGAATACTACTCAGCCATAAAAAATGAAATAATGCCATTTATAGCAACATGGATGGGCCTAGAGATTACCACCGTATGTGAAGTAAGTCAGACAGAGAAAGACAAATACCATATGATGTCACTTACATGTGAAATCTAAAATACAACAGAAATGAACTTATCTATGAAACAAAAACACTCACAGATACAGAGAACAGACTTGTGGTTGCCAAGCAGAGGGTGGGGAGGGAAGGATTGGGAGTTTGGGATTAGCAGATTCAAACTGTTAAATGTAGGATGTGTAAACAACAAGGTCCTACTGTATAGCACAGGGAACTATATTCAATATCCTGTGATAAACCATAATGGAAAAGAATATGAAAAAGAATATATATATGTATAACTGAGTCACTGTGTTGTACAGCAGACATTAAACACAACATTGTAAATCAACTATACTTCAATAAAAAGAAAAAAGAAAAAAAGAACATAGGCCATGAGTATATGGCCTATCAGGAACTTCAGGGAGTCCAGGGCAGCTGGATTATAAGTATTAGGGTAGATGAGGCTCAAAGCCTTGCTAGGGTCAGCCAGGTCATGAAACGTTGTTAAAGCCATTCTGAGGGGCTTAAACTTCACACTGTAAACGGTAGGAGTCATGTATCTTTAAGAAGGAGAGTGTTGTCAGTCTTGTGACTTAGAAAGGAAACCAACTCTGGCAGCCATGTGGAATATAATAGCAAATGGAGGCCACTGCAGTAACCCAGGAGCACAAGCACAAGGGTCTGAACCTCAGCAGCCATGATGACAGGAGGAAAAAGTAAGGAGGAAATTGGGAGATCTTCAAAACTTGGTTCTACCAAGACCTGGTGACCAAGATGCTTGAGTAAGGAGTCTCCTAGGCAACATCTTACCCCAGCAGTCACCTGGGCCACAGGTCCACCCCTGAGATTTCCAGTATCACACCCAACCACTCATTCCCCATCCCAAATCCAGAGTTTGAATCTACAGTACTACGATTCTATCTTTAGCTCTGCTTAGAAAGGCTTCCATGGATAGTTAATAATAACCACCAGTGATTATAAATCTTGGGCTAGATATGGTGCTGCTATACAAGCAAAGTGCTATTTCATGTTTCTCTCATCAAAACCCTATTCTCTGTCTTCTAAGTCTCTTTCTTTGTCTTTACCTAGCTGACTCATAGGCATCCCTCAGGTCTCAGCTTAACCATCAATCTAATAGAGGAACTTTTTCCTAACCACCGCCCCCCCCGACCAAACGAGGTCAGGTCCGAGTCAAGCACTTCCACAGCAGTCTCTATTTGGCAAGACTCAACAAGATTATAATTACTTGTTCATCGCCTATCGTCCTGTTAGACTGCGATATGCACAAGGGTGGATCCTGTCTGCCTTACTCACCACTGTCCTTATCGTGCCAAATATTCAGCTGGTGACCAATAGGGAAGTAAAATAAGGGGAAAAAATCTATCTCAGTATGAAATAAACCAAACTCAGATCTGGGGGGAAGAAATTGAATTGGACCTCCTGAAACAAATACAAAGAATAGTCACACTTTGCTAAAAAACTAAGAACACAAAGATATATTTCTGAACTCTTGGCAAGACCAAAAGAGGAACTGCCCACCGCTGACTGTTCTCTTCCATTCTCAGCCAGCTCCATGAAGCCTTCATTCTCCATTCAGATGCTGGTGGGGCTCAAAACTCTGTTTTTGCTTAGTTATAGCACTTCTACCCTATCTAGGGCTAATATTCATTTGTATTTTGTAATGCACCCAGCAGTCTGCAAAAGGAAACTCTTAGGAAAACTTAGTTGGACTGCCTTTAGGTATACAAAAGATTATCACCTCGTCTAGCACTCTTTTTGAAGAATAAATGGTGTGGCACGTCCTGCAGACTAGCAATCAGCATCCATTCTACAATCCTCCAGCACACCTTTCAGTACTACAGAGGTCAGAAAGCGAAAACACTATATTTTCCAGACTCCTTGACAGAGTGCTGGTTAGCCAATGAGATGCACAAGATTCAGAAGGCAGAAGTGAGATGGAGACCATCTCCTTGCTGCTTCCTCTGGCAAGCATGGCTGTGGAGAAGTGGGGTTTTTCCCGCAATAGCAATGTCAATGTCCAATTAGCTCTGTGGATGTGGAAAGGAGTGTTGCAAGGCCAAGCAGTCGGACAGCAACTACGACAGGGTGTTTGAGAAGTCAACAGCTTCAGTGGCAACTCCTGATTCTGTACCTTCTCAGTTAGAGAAGCAGCAGCTTGCCTGGTGGGCCAGGTCTGCAATGTTCTGGGAGTTGGTCCTCTAGGTCCAGCTGAGAGCCCCTTCTCCCCAGCCTTCCAAAAAAATCTATAAGCAACTGATTTCTTATGCTAAATCATTTTCTGCTTAAAATAGCTTGAGTGTTTCTGGGTCCTAAAATGAATCCTGACTGATTACTAATTCTTGCCTTATCTCATCTATATGAATGAGAAAAACATGCCAATGTCAAAGAGAGATCAGAAACCCTCTTGGAGAAAACTGTAAGTTATCCTAGGAGTCCCCATGGTCAGAGACGGAAGAAACACTCGTTTTTTCTGCCAGGTTTTTCACTGATGAAAAGATATGTGCCTTTTTAATAAATGTGTATTTACATACCTTATTTCCTCAACTGAATATCTGAATTCTCCTTAAGGGAATTAACTGTTGTATTTTCTCTTGTACCCACCCTCTTCTTTCCTCTGGTCTGAAGCACAGCTGTGAACACACAGGAGGTGTTAGATATTTATTTAAACATAGGAGGATTTAAAAGATGTGATTCTGAACCAGGGTGCTGAAAGGACAGCTCCTCCAATGGTATTTCACAGAAGGTAGAAAACCTCTGTGGGGAAGGCGAAGAAGCAACGATCTCTCTCTGGGTAGAACATAAACTCTCAGGTTCTTGCTATTTCGTCGAGGAAATATTATGACCAGTCTTCAGGAGAAGTATAGAACAGAGCTTACAAGAAGACAGAAGACAAAACAGTGGGGGATGTGGGGAGGGTCCTTTCTTTTCCCTTCCCTGCTAAGAAGCCCCTTTGGATAGAAACTAGACCTTCACTGCAGCCGTGAGGATGTGGGACTCTCCCCCCTTTCCCTGCCCCAGTCAAGACCTGGTTGTAAGTAGGAATCAGGTCAACTCTCATACAGCACATTTTTCAGTTTCTGTGGAAGAATATTTCCAGGAATATCAGGAACAAAACCTTCTCTCTTTCAGTCTTGGAGTCAAGATGTTATTCCCTCTCAATTATATCCTTGGAAACTAAATATACAGGCACATTCTGGTGAGTTTGGGGCAAGTGAATGGTACGTACCTCACTCATTTAAAAATCTTAAGTACGTCTGAAAATACATCCTTATATTGCTAGTGAAGGCAAGAAAAAGAAATGTAAATTAGTAATATCCTTAATTTATGCCCTGCTTGAAAACAGACAGAACTCTGCTGTAAGAGAAGCTTTTTTTTAATACCTAGGGTTACATATCTCTGAAGATGATACATTTGGAACTTTACACTTTCCATCTTTCACTAAAATAAAGAAGATGAGCAAGCTCCTGGGTTATTTATATTTGTCAGCCCCGTGGAGAGCTAAACTCTAATACCTACATTGGAGAGGATAGAAGCACTCTATAAACGTTAGATGATTTATAATATCACTCTTATATGCTTTCTTTGTCACAAGATTTAGTAATTTCCCCCCTTCCATTTTGATTAAAGTTTGAAACAGAAGTTTCACTTTGAAAAGCAGTATTTGAAAGTAAAACTGAACATTATTACCTCACTTTGTGTCTTCTATTCACAATCTAATATCAAAATTCATGTCCCAGAGAGGAAGTTGAAAAAAGTAACTGGGGAAAAGTTGTCAGAGGCTCAATTTCATTCTAAGTCTTTGGAGACCAGGTCAACAATCACCTTTATTTTCTGAGTGACACTAAATGAACCAGTGGACACAGCATACAGACCAGAGGCCCTTTATCAGATCACCAACTTCCTTGAGCAAAGCACTGCACTGAAATTATATATTGACATCACCAATTTCCCTCACGTGTGACTTCTAAGTACCCCCTCATCTTCTCATTTCTTTATCCCCTGGTATTTAACACAGTATCTCTCTTTCACTAGGCACTCTAATTGGTTTTTGACTAGAATTAAATTTTCTGAATTATCAAAAATTAATTCCAGTCAAGATCAGAATTTAGTGTGGCTAAATAAAATAACTTACCAAGACCTTCAAATGCTGTTGTTCAAGTCAATTCTTTCAATAAGTACAAGGTACTTCCTACTTTCTCATCATCTGAGTTTTAGATATCAGAATCTACTCTCTCCAAGGTAACTTTTGTTACAGCCCCAGGTGAAGTCCTGGGCACCCAATGGAGAAGAAGCTTCTAAAGTGGCACAGTGTCGACCTGCCTGGCTTTCTATGCATGGGTTCTTCCCACCTAAGTCACATTCGCTCCTGACTGCTCTCACAGCAGCGAGCACAAGATATTAAAGAAACTCAGCTCCTGTTCGTGAACCTCACAGAGCTCTTCTACTCTGATATTAGCTGTCTCTGAAAAAAAAAAAAAAAAAATCACCAAACCCCACCCACAAAGACCCTCAAAATCTGACACGTTTAAAACTACACTGTTTTCTAACATGCCAGGCCAACATCTCTTCCGGTATGTGACCAAGTTCACCTTCAACACTATTTGAGACATTATCTGCTAGGACCCTTAGCCTTGATCTTTCCAGCACTAACGCCAAAAAGGTGTAACACCTAGAAACAATTTAAAGTAATTTGTCACCTGCAGGTATTATAAAGATTAACTGTAGAAGGAGGAAGTTTTAAACTGAATACGAGGGAGAGAGAAACAAAGGAAATTAAACATTTGAACATCAATTTGACAGTCAAAACACCAATAAAAAAAGGACAGCAGAAAAACAAGAGGTTATGATTTTGATATTAATAAATGGTATTTAATAAACATCTAAGATATAATATAATTGTTCAGGTGAAAATAAGTTACAGGACCAGAAAAATAACTGTGACAAATAAAATTTTTAAATTAAATGTTTAAAGTTAGCCCTTGGTAATGATTTTTTTAAATCAGCTAAGAGACAAAGTATACAAAATATGGAATAAATAATGATATAAGTGAATTACAATACTTTTTTAACAGGAAAGAAATTACGGAAACCCTCAAATACAAAATACTGTAAACTGCACCGGAAGATATTTACATCTTTCTTCTAAAACCACCTAGCATCACTGATTAAAGGTTTCTAACGGCAATTTAACTCCTTTGAAAAAACAAAGAAAATTTCATTTCAGGGTGTGGAAAAGGGGAGCTCCTGGGAAACTGGTGAAAACCAGGACCCTAGAAGAAAGGCCCTGGGAGGGACCCCTGGGCATGGTCCCCCTGAGATTTGGCAAATACCAAATATAGGCAAGGATCTAGGGTGAGAAGAAAGGAGAAGATATATTGTCTGGGTGTCAAGGCCCTGGGATTTAGCCACTAAACCTTGTGCTCCTGATCTCTCATGGGGGAATGACATACTTTTCCCTTGCTGATCATTTCTGCACTCATCACCTGCCCCTACACACACACACACACACACACACACACACACACACACACACACACACCCTTCTTATAGCACATTATTTGGTGAGACTCCTCAAGGGACCACTTTTGAAATACAAGATTAGGATCCAAGAAATCAACACAGTATTTCAAAGATACTTCAGCCTTGAGTTCACATAGGCTTCCGGGACTAGTGAGCCAGCCCAGCCCTGCGGGAGACACCCCCGTCTCCTTTAAAGCAAATGCCTTTCAGGGGCGGGGACAGGCGGTAGAAGAGGTCGGGAAGGTCCCTGATTTGGGGACTAATGTTATGACAGAAACCACCAGCTTGCCTAAAATCCTTCCAGACTCGGGGGGCGGGGAGGTTGGAGACAGGAAGATTCTCCTGCTGGGGCTTCAAGATGTGGGATCAGGAGCTGCTGCCGAGGCGGTCGCGTGAAGGTGAAGAAGCCCAAGCGCCCGAGGCTCCAGGCGAGGCCTGCGGCATGTCTATCTTACTGATTGCACCTGCCAAAGCCCCTGCAGCCCGAGCGCGCGCACACACACCCACCCCCAGGTCAATCATTGCCCACCCAAGCTTAACCCTCGAGGAGGGCTCCCCTCCCCCTGCGACCACCCCAAGGCCTCCATCATACCCCCCACCCTGCTCCCCGCCGGGCTCCCGGGCCCCGCCTTCGCCTTACACTGAATGGGCGGGTAGCAACTGGGGTCTTCGCCTCCGGGCTGGCAGCGGCTGGAGAAGGCGCTGCGCGGGGTCACGTAGTTGCTGGGGAAGATGCCCACCCGCTGGTTCAGCTGCCCGGTCCACCAGCCCTCGTCGCCGGACACCTGCGAGTCCTTGGACAGCACCTCCACCACGTCGCCCAGCCGCAGGGTCAGCTCGTCCTCGCCCGCCGCCTCGTACTCGAACACGGCCGTCCAGTAGGGCAGCGGCGCGTCGGAGCCCAGCTCCCTGGGGACTGCCGCCGCCGCCTCCTCCTCCTCTTCCTCCTCCTCCTCGGCCCCGGTCCCCGCTCCATCCTCCCCCGGCGGGGCTGCAGCGGCAGCGCTCGCCAGGCAGCCGAGAAGCGCTCTGGAGGGCTCCATGGAGCGGCCGATCCATAGGGTGCGGGGCTGCTGCCGCCCGCAGGAGCCGCCGCCGCCTATTGTTCATGCGGCTCCGCAAAGCTGGGGGGACCCCCCTCCCCCGACGGCGGCCGCAGGTAGGGGCCGGGCTGGCGGGGCGGGGAGAGTCGGATCGCTAGGGCTGGGGCTGGGGCTGGCTCAGCGCGGCTACAAGTGCGCGGAGCGCGTAGTGCTCACCGCAGCATGGGGGCGCGGCGGGCCGGAGCCCCCGCCTTCGCGCTCACCCCCTGGGGCGGCCTGGCCACCTCCGCCGCGGGT